AGTTTAATCGCGATTAATTTTCAGTGTGTGGATTTTCCGAATATCCAAAGCCAAAATAGGTCAACAACACATCTTGTTTCAATATTCAATGACTTGTTGAAAAGTTTATAATCTTTACATGTGTTTAGTTGCGAATCACAGCAGCAAAACCTATGACGAAATTTGATTGTTAAGATCTTGTATTGAGGCCAAGCATGACGCTGGTCTTTTCATCTCCAAATGCGTGACCCCTGAATGTAGTTCAGTTATACTTATTTATTTCAGTTGTGTATTAATGTTTGTGCTGTTTAGTTACAATATTGTATTTGCCCGCGTTAGTTGCTAACTTTGACTATAGCGTTATATTGTTTATTGCCTAACTTGCTGTGCTTGTCAGCGACTTAATACGCTTAGAATTTTGGTCATTTAACATTTGTTTCAGCAAACCTCCTCTTTATCTTAATAATTTAAGCTGTTCCCAACTCATCTGTCTCGTCCCATTGTTCTTGCAAGCATCTTTTTTTAGATAATTGAAAGAGGAATCATTATTTCATACTTATTTATTGGGTATATTAAACTCTTTTCGTGTAAGCATCGGAAAACTACAAAGATGATTAATTTTCTGCGATATTTTCCACATTTCTTGCTTTTTATTCGCTCCTATTAGGCTCGATGTTTTATAGCCTACTAGCTGTGCCCGCGACTTCGTCCGCGTGGAATAGTGACGTGGAATAGAGTGGTAGAATTTTTAATTATTTAGGCTGTTTAATAATTTATGTAAGGGCGCATTTAGGGCAGCCAATCTATGTTGTAACATATAAGTGCTACTTTGCCGCAACACTCTCACCTCACATCACCACTCCTATTCCCAAAAAGCCAAAGAAGAAAGTTTCTTTGTTCTAGCTTCAAAAACCACGAATTTCCATACAAACTTGTAACCCCTTCCAACCCCCTTTTCGCAATAAAAAGCCTATGTTCTTTCTCAGGGTCTAGACCATCTGTGTACCAAATTTCATTCAAATCCGTTTAGTAGTTTTGGCGTGAAAGAATAACAAACAGACAGACAGAGTAACTTCCGCATTTATAATATTAGTAAGGATATAGCCTTCCTTGATAAATGCTCTAACTAACACAAAAAACAATCAATACAAACCAGTAGTTCCTGAGATTAGCCCGTTCAAACAAACAAACTCTTTAGCTTTATATAATATTAGTACAGATGTTAAAAAATAAGAAATGACTAGTTTGTCTTTGCTTTCACAGATAACAAATCGATTGTAACAATGAGCAAGCTGAAGTAATGGCCTATCATTAAAATGATGAGAATTGAGAAGTTCCAAACTCCGTAACGAATAAATACAAAATCGATTTCGCCATGGGTTTTAATTGATGACGTAACGCCGTGTCACTGTGCATATTTCTTGAAAACTATGTTTCTTTGCCGGATAATAAGCAAAAAATCTTCAAAGTATTCGTCATTTGTTTATCTCAATCGAGAACCGAGTGTAACATATAGCAAACGCAAAAAAATTTTAGTTATGTTATGTATCTAGAGAATGACAGTGAAAATCTAATTTCTGTCAAAAGTCAAAAATCATTCGTGTAGGTAACTATGTACACTTTTAAATAAAACACTTTTACCTTTTAAAACGGGATATATTAGTGACTTATTTGAAAATGATTTTTAACCCCGTTTTAACGTCGGACCGAAGTTAAAAATCATTTTCAAATAACTTTAACTAGTATATCGCGTTTTATACTTTTAAAGTGTTTTATTTAAATGTGTACTACTCGCGTAAACTATAGACAGTATTTTACTAGGTACACTTATGAATGTCACAACACTAAAGAAACTAACTTTACATTTACTACCAGTTCTAAGACCAATATGTCTCAGAAAAAAACAGGTTGGCCTTCCTCTGGAAATCTGGATATTAAATTGACAGGAATATAAAAATTGCGTCCGGGTCACGAACCACCGTCCATAGATGAAAAAGCCGTGTAGCTTAATCGCGTTTCCATTTAAGTCGGTGAATTTCCGAATATCCAAAGCCAAAATCGATCGACAGTTCATCTTGTTTAGATGCTATATGCTGGGGTATATCATCTACGATCAAGTGGGCCTATGTCTGTCCTTCTCTATTATTAAAAAAATATAATTACACTAATCAATTTCGTTATACACCATAGACGATGTGTTCTAACTGTCTTACGTTTATTAGTAAGATTCGAACCCAAATCCTAAAATTACTCTTTTTTCACTGGCATCCGATTTCTATCAAACAAAGCCATTACTACTCTATTGTATTTACATACAATAGTAATAGTTACGTCCAGTTATTTAACATTTAGGTGAGAGAGAAGAAAATAACAATAATGTAAGTTATAGTTCTATTTTACCCTACTTACATACATTTTTTTATATTAAAACAATTTTAATATCCTTTTTTTGTAATACAGATAACATTATATAGCTATGGAATGTTCTAGGAAGGTATAATTTTTTCATCACTGAAGTGCTAAACTTGCATTATAAATTATTAGGTCGAAAATAACATTCTTATTACGCTACATAAACCACAAGCGTGTCTAAGTCCCGTTGTATAATGACTACCGAGCCGAGATTTTGTTTTAAGTAAAACGGAACTTTAAATATTTTTTACTTTATTGAGAAATCCTATTTAGATGTGCCTAATACTAGATAAACTCCTTTCACGGTTTAAAACGTGGCCTATATCTGTTAATTGATTTCTTAATCGACATGGGTCTACTTTACTTCTTGACCATGACTACTTTAAAGCAGTTTAAACGTCGGGTCGTAGTTAAAATCAATATTATTTTTTTTATCAATACTTTAATAACACGTTAAACGGTGTAAAACGCGAAATATATTGGTTAACTTCTAACTAAATTAAAATAATTTAAAAATAAAAACTGCCCGACGTTTCGTTAAAACTCTTATATGTATTTAAATATGTCCGTGTAAACTACAGACAATATAAGTTTCGTGAACTCCAGATACAGTGTATACCTTTTTCATATAAATTCCATTTATTGTCCTTATTATTATTTTAAACCCGTTTTTTGTCATTACGAGTGATATCCCTGAAACTTAAAATTACACATATCGTATCAATTATGTATATTATATTATTACGAAGCCTTGCCACAATGTCTTTACGATGGTACACGCAAATAATAATATGTAATATCACTGACTTAGTATTTACATACATAAAACATTTGTCTGTAAATTACAGACAAAAATGGTACTTAATTCAAGCAAACTAAAGGCGTAGATTGCGTTCTTGGTTTCTTTTGAGTAAACTTATTAAATTCTAATCACGTGGTTATTTCCAGAGCTCATGCGTAGTTCAAAAGGAAGCTATAAGTTCCCACAATTGGAGCCTACTTCAGAACACTACAAGCAACTGCTTGTATGATCAGATAATATATATAATTCCTATATTTTAAAGAATAAATATAATACTATAAGACTTGGAAAAAAAACTATTTTGCCATATTAAGTATTTCAACTAAAATATGATTATCACAACAAACATGGTTCTTGTGAGTGAACCTTGAAAGATAGATATATACTGTAGCAGTCTTCGATTATTTAAAGAATTTCGTATCTTGAATCGTTTTCGGGCACGCAACGGAAATAATAAAGGTTGAATAATTTCCCCCATTATTTCCACATTTTCTCTGTTTCCTCTCTCGAATTGGTCGCAGCGAATGCCCCCTCGATAAATACAATACAAACATAATTTTTCATTTCGAACCAGTAGTTTCTCAGTCAACATATAAACAAACAAATTTTGGACAATGTTTTTTGGTATTTTGTATGAATTATAATAAACTAGATATGTAGTTGTAGTTTGTACCTAATATTTATCTAATTTTTAATTATTTCCCCTTCATCATGAGTACTTAGTACTGATCTAAATACATTTCTTAAATACTCGGAAATGTTGATTCGGTCGCGCAATGGCTTTAGAAATGCAAAACGTTGCATGGCGTTCTACTGCGATAATTATTAGTTTATCTAAGCTAGGTTCGTGTAGCATGTTGCTTTCAACTCACGACGTGGGCCACCATCCGTGCTGCTTTCTATTGATCAGTGCATTTTCTTTGCACTTGCTCTTCCTCAAACAATATTTATATTATTATTTTTCTCAGACTATAACATTTCAATGAAAAGCATGGGGGTTTCCTTTGATAATAAGTGAAATATACTTTATTCTCTTTAAAAAAAATTATTTAGATTCGTCTAAATTTTTTTTGGTTTGTCTGTCTGTTCGTCGTGATTCTACAGTGTTCAAAAGAGCGACATAACTGAGAAGAACACCCGGGAAACTCAGTCCGGATTTTTTTAACATGTCTTATAAACTAATACATTGTGAATTTATTAACCTAAGGAGCTAATTAATATTACCGCCAGGCGGTCTTGTGATTAAAGAAATCGTTCAGACAATAATACGCCTTGATGGAATTGAGACAATTTAAATTTTATAACTTTTTTAAATTTATTTATCGATAAATTTGATACCTCAACTGGCAATGTATACATACGCTAGGTTATGCTTATTTCGTAAGTGCCAGCTAATACTAAAGTGCTACAGTTAATAGTCCGGCCATACAAACAAGATGAGCTGTCGACCTTTTGGCTTTGAATATTCTGAAATCTACAGACAGAAACCTAAACGCGATTAAACCTGACGGTTTTACATGTTACGGTGGTTCGTGATCGGACGGAAGAGCTATATTCTTACCGACCCACTTAATGTACATATTTGAAGACAAATTCCAATAAATTCCAGAAAAACTATAAATTGATATATTTTAGCATATTTACGTTAGGTAAGTCAGAGTAGTAGATTGTATTATACGTTTATAAATAAATATTTGCGCCTGACGGTTTGTAAAACGCAATTACATTTTTCTGTACAATTGCTATAAGTGATTGTGGTCAACCCAATTTCTTAATTTGTCATTAATAAACTTGTTTTGTATTTCAGATTGGGGCGTCAACAGTGAGCCGGGCGAAGTGAGCGAACCGGAGGCCGGTCGCATGCGTCCCGAGGACTACCGCCTCGTGTTCCTCAGCTCGGATTCGTCGTGCCGCGAGGACACGGAAGACTCAGCCTCGACAGCCTCCTCCGCCGCGCCCCCCGCACCTGACGACTGCGACTGGGATTACTTTGAACCGGGCGCGGCGGCGGCACCACCCCCACCGCCACAACCACCAAAACACACCCCACAAGACTGCCAGAAAGCTTGTTCCTGCGGCGCAGAACCGCGCTTTGTCGCCGTCCCTGTACCAGTACCCGTACCAGTCCCGGCAGCTCTCTGGCCTGCACTACTCGCTTTCGCCCCACAAACACCGCCCACGCCACATTGGAATACGTACCCTGGTTTTCCGCCGCTAGATGCCGCAGCCATTGCTCGAATCACTACGGCTGCCGCCGTTGCAGTCACCGCGGCCGCTACCGCTAACTCTTTACCACGAAATCGACTCGAGATGACCGTCGAAAGGACCGATAAAGCCATACAGTCGGAATTGCAAACGCTTGAGCCCCGCGATAACGATAAGAGCGATAACAGTATCGAACACTCAGTTCAACATGAAACGTCCGACGACATAAAAGTGATAGCGGAGGACGTAGACACTGAAACGATGCCCGATCATCTAGACGCTGAGAAAGCTTTCCCGTCGTCTAACGAGTCGGCCGAATCGAGTGATTCGGAGAAGGGAGTCGCGAGAAGGAGCTATGACTTGAGAAGTGCAGCCCCAGAAGAGCCCCCCACGTCAGACGAGGATTCCGATGACTCTGGCGGTGGGGGCGGACAATTCTCACGCGTGTTTGTCGTTAACCCCGCGTCTTCTTCTTCAGAGAACGAGGATAATGCGGACAGCAGTGGCATCGACTGTGACGACTCTGATGACAAAAAATCTGACAGCTTAGAAATCGTGGCCAGGGAGGTAGCGTTACAGAATGACATTCACGACTATCAGGAAGACGCTTGTTCGAATAACAACGTAGTTGTCTTACAATCTGTTAACTTTACGGAAGAATATTCGCTGTTTCCCTTCCAAAATCAAAGAAATAGTGAAAGTGAAAATATAGCCAATTTTCGCGATAAGAGTATGTTGATGAGTGAAACAAATGAGGAATATAATAGTTTTAACGATGCATACTGTAGTGATAGGGATTTAAGCAACTACGACTCCTTAAATCAAAATGTGCAAAGTGCAAGTTCGTCTGACGTTATTGAGTGCGACTCTTTGGATAATTCGTGTAATTTTGACTGTAACATCAAAGTTTCCGTCGATTTACCCACGGATACGTGTAACACGGAACGAATTTCAAATCCGGCGCCAAACGTTTTAATCACGAAACCGGCTCCCTCGCCCGAACCTAAATATGAAGACTCGAATAATTCATCGTCACCGCCTATACAAAAAATAGATTTGTTTAAAGGCATTGAACGAACGCTTAGTGAGCTATTGAAGAAAGAATTAATGGAGGATCGGGGTGAGGAGAAAATGCACATTTCGCGGCCGGTTTGCGTCGAGACGGAGGGGGCGCGCGCGCACCTGTAGAGAATACAGTTTGCCGCTCGCGCACGGCCTCTGCGGACGGGTCCGCGCGTTTCACTAGCCGCGTTATGATAACGCACGATCGTGTCTCCGTAGTCACGTCAGACACGACGCGGCTCATGCAAGACATCACAGTTCATCACACAAACTTAGACAACGAACCGGAACCGAATGCGAGCGTACAATCAAACGAAACAAACGAACGATCTGACGACGATTCGGCGCAACCTTCGACTGGAGTGACCGTTGTTAGCAATTCAGACACTCTCTCCGCAGTCGTGTGCCTCGAGGACGGGCTTGCGGACGACGATTCTTGGATCGAGGACGCCAGTCATGACGACGATGTCACCTCTCAATACGACACCGACTCGGGAGATGAAGCGACCCTGCCCAATCGGTCGGAGGACTTCACATATTGTAGGCGTTCCCTAGACTTTACATTGCACACGATCGTCGAAGAAAGTTGTGAAGAAAGCGAGACGGAACCGACGACTAAGAAGCCGCGTCCTTTATCAGCTACGGAACTCGAAAAATATTATTACTACAGTTTAGCCGATGGAAAAAATATTCGCGAAGAAGATGACCACCATGTCTCCGACACCTCTAGTGTGTGCAGTGAGGGTGGAGAGTCGATCGTTGACAGTGAACAGCCGAGAAAAAGTGGTGATAGTGATGAGCTTGTGACGTCCAGGTTAGAGAAATATTTTTTAGTCGGATTTATGGGTTTCAATCAGGAGCGGAGAGACTCGGACGGCTCGGGAAGTGTCGGTAGTGATAGTGAAGGGAAGCAGAGCCCGGAACACAGGCGAAAACGCCTCGTCAGAGCTAGGGGCACGCCACGGTCGCATTCTTCATCCCTCGATAACTTATTAGCTGGCGAGGAACCTTCTCAAGAAAACCAGGAAGCTTCTGATGGTTCGAGCACAGGGACTGAAGACGGGCACGAGTCACTCGAACGGTTAGATTTGTCGGGGGGAAGCGAAACGTAAGAAACAAAATAAAAAACTTAGAGGGTCGCCCGCTGACGAGCGGCGTCAGTCAATGGAGTTCCCTGACGAGACCCGGGAAGATACCAGATCCGTATCAGAGGGTGAGGATGGCAGGTCATCCCCTAGACCCGAATTCCCTCCGCTTGGCTCAGAACTGTCTGAATCTAAAAAGCAAACTAGTCGTGATAGCGGGTTCGTCGGAAGTTGTGACGACCTATTAAGAAGCGGTGACTCAAGCTCGGACTTCACAAAGTCGCATGAACAAAAAACGGAACTAGAAGAAATAATAGAGGAAGTCAGGGCCGACACGGAAGAACGCGTAGAGAGATTGCCCTTATCCCGCCCACCGCCGAGCCCGCTTTCGAGAAAAGATAGCTTTAACAATTGGTCCTCAGATGAGGAGACCAATCTGATGATGACTAAAATGAGACAATTCTTTAAACAAATGATAAACTCTTCTAATGTCAAAACTTCAACCATAACCTCAGCCGATTCTGAGAGCCCTAAGCCCCCGAAACCACCGCAGTTGCTATACTTCGAAAGCGAATTGACACGATTGATGAAAACAGTACCCGGTATCCGCGACGAGGAAGTACGCGAGATCGTAGAGTACTTATCTAGTGAAGACACGTGGAGTGACTCGTACGATTCATCCGATTATGCCGGTTCCGATTTGGAGGGCTCAGCAAATAGATCCGCCTTAAGAAAACAAATATCGGAGAGCTGTAGAGAAATCATAGATGAATTTGATAAAGGTAACAGTGACGCTGGTTCATTAGAGCGAGACGCGGTCGGGGCATACCAGAGATTAGTGGCGACATTAGGCCGAGTGAGCGACGGTTCTCCACCCCTATTTGGCAAAGTGATGCGGCATATAGGAGGGAGGCTGGTGGCTTTGATGCATGAGGTATCAGCGGGTGCATCGCCGAGCACGGACGAAGATAGTGCGTCGGAGCCGGGTGCGTTGGCGCGAAGCCGATCTCATGATATCCTAGAAGCAACCGCTAGTCGGGGTAGTGTCGCGAGTGATAGTGAAAGGTTTTCGTGGCGTGGTAGTTTTGAATCAGCGCTGTTAGCAGCTGATTCTAGAGGGACGCTAGGCGGTGGCGGATGTGAGGCAAGGCGGTCCCCGGCTGGGGCTGACCTTGCAGCTCTTAAGTCGCACTCGAGGAGTTGTGGAGCAATCAGTGGAAGCGAGGATAGACTGTGGCGCGGAAGGCGACGGGCTTCCGCTCCAGATACTGAGGTAATGTAATTTTATTTATAACGACATTTTGTTAACATTTCATAGGCGTATACAATTCTTCCTAAGACTAGAACATTGATGAAATTACGACGGGTTAAAACTTCTAAAAATATAATACCTTTAAATAAAACACTTTAACGGTTTAAAACGCGATATATCAGTGAAACTTATTTGAAAATTATTTTTAACTTCGGCCCGACGTTTCCGATGCTTCAAGCACCACTACATAACACATACACAAACTAATATATCGCGTTTTAAACCGTTAAAGTGTTTTATTTAAATGTGTACTGCTCGCGTAAACTATAGTCAGTATTTAATATAATACCTACCCGAATGTAAGTGCGTTTAAGCAGAAATATTGATCACTTTTCCATTCAAGTCAAACGCTTTAATTTAATTCTTAAGATAATACAAAAATTAAAAAAGTACGCTAACCATTTTGAAGAGAAATTATTGACGTCATACGATCTAAAACAAAAGTGCTTCTACGTGACGTCATACGTTTGGTCAATGTTTTATTACACAATAAAATCGATAGCTGCGTGAATGATAAAATCATATCTTATCAGATAAATTAAAAATAGTGAAAACGATAAACATTGTATAGACAACTATTTCACTTTTATTTTCTAAGAAAACGCCAAATGAGCCATAATTATATTCCTGAACTATTAGATCAGCGATTAGGAAAGTATTTAAATAAAGCGCTAACAGTAATGATAACGTTATACAATGTTACACACTAGTAATCACAAATTACTTGAATAGATTGGACAAATTAACTATTATAATTACTAATGGTGATAATAATCTAATCATCACAATTTAATCATTTGTGTTATTCACCATTAATACAAAAATACTAATTACTTATAATAACGTTTTAATTAAGTACACATTTGAATAAAATACTTTTAACGACATATATTAGTTAACGTTTCGAATGCCACGGCTACAAAGCAGCGGGAAAATTAACTAATATATTTCCCGTTTTAAACCGTTAAAGGCGTTTTATTTAAAGTTTGTGACCGTAAGTGGTTTTGAGCATAAACAATCAAGGAGTTTACAAATAATCTTATGATAGTAGCATGTTCAAGTATTAAAGAGAGGATAGTTGGTCAGTTGAAAAAAAAACAAAACAATATTGCATGTATTCCTATCGTCTATATAATGAATTATATTTCTATATAATGAAAGATTTATTTTATACACATACAAAAAAGTTTCAACAAATTTTTAATCAGAAAAGTATTTCAGTATACATATACCTGTAAATTATATTGCCAAGTATTACTTACAACATATTACAATTCTACCCAATATAGTGTGCAGTTCAAATGTCTAATGAAATATTAATATAGTCATTAATATCCTTGTAAAGTTGTATCAAAATCGGTCAAACCATTTCGTAGATTAGCCACCACCTGGTAATTTCAAAGTACTAAAGGTTTTTTAATAATTCTCAATACTATAATATTGAATCAATTTTGTTTCTTTAATTTAAAAGTGTTTCTCAAACAAAAAAGACGTTATTGACTTTTATACTGAACTTTTTATGCTTAAGTGTTCGGATTATCTCTTGGACCTTGATTGTATTGTGAACTTGAATGTGGAAACATTCTAAAACCTTGAAGGATGTGATAAGAAATAAGGAATATCCGACTAATGAATAATAAACAAATATATGTTTATACACTACAGAACGGTGTCTTGTTTTTAAATCAATTTTGAAATAAGTACCTAAAACAAGTATATTATTAAAATTTCATTATTTCCTCTTGAGGTATGGTATCACTTCAATGAGAACAGATTCTGGTGATTGGCATGCACCTACAGATAAGAGTAATATAAATATTTTTACTATTCTATCCCACTTTGTAAATACAGTGTAAACTCCATGTAACGTCACTCTATTTAACGACAAACTCTCTTAAGCGTCGAAATTAATTGGCTTTGGTTGGTTTAGCTTGTTTTTCATACAATGTTTCTTCTCTCCATTTAACGACAACTCTCTATAACGCCATAAAATGCACAGTCCCTTCAGTGTCGCTATATAGAGTTTACACTGTATAATATTACCCACACTCAATTTTAGATAAGATTTTAACATGACTGACTGGCAAACTAACTATTTATATCTATTGTTGTTTGGCTATATTTATTATTAGCCTTTTTATTGTAACAATATGTAGTTCTATGTAATTTTAAAGATTAATTAAGTTTAAAACCTTTGCAATACATGCTCAAATTCTTAATATGCTATCTATTGTCTATAGCCTGAAGAGGAACAGCGTGCTGGCTCGCTACCAAGACTACCAGTCAATGGTACCACTCCACCGCCGGTAGGACCAGTGAAGTCCGCAAGATATCGCGCTCCTGGATTCAGAACAGCTACCAGGGCTGCGTCCGCTCCAGGTCTCCACGCACCTAGGAGAAGAAGACCGATACCTACTCCTCAACAACCTCCACCCTCGGCTCCAGCATCTGCGCCAAGTTTACAAGGTAAGAAATTACAAAATACTAGTTTTATTTTTTGTTGTTCGATATTTAAAAATAGATTATGCATAATTTCAGTTAGATTATTATGAAAGTAAAGTTAAGTCAGAAACCATGAACAGATAAATTTAGAAAAACCTTTGTATGGTTATGGTACATTTTTATTGTACATAACCTTCCTTCACAAACGTATGTCTTCATTGTTTGAGTTCCTATAACCAAACTAAACAGTAGTTTATATTAGTAGCAACAGATAGTTCTATAAAACAAAATATTCTCAAACATTTTAAAGTTTTATCCTAGACATCTAATTTAATAATAGGTTCTGCACTTCATAATTGTGTATTTAACTAAATCAGCGAGCTAGCTACACAGTACTAGTCGTAATTATACAAAATACTTTGTAAAACAAAATTTAAGCCTCGTATTATTAAAGAAACAAATTATGAAAGGGAACCCAACCTAATATAATTATTTAACGAGTTCTGAAGGCCATATCCATTTTTTCGCTTAGGCTTTACTTTCACTGAATTTAAATTTCGTCTAATTATTATCATTTGTCCAAATAAGAAAATGCCGAGACAAAATATAGACTGAAAATTGTTTTCACGACTATTCGTATTAATTATATATATTTTTTGATGATAATTGTTAAAACATGCGAAACGCCGAGTCTCACAGTTTACTAATATATTTCATGATTCAAACCGTTAAAAGTATGTTAATACAACGGAAGTAATTAAGAACGGAAGGAAATTGCAATGACATGGTTTACCTTCGCAGAGTCGTTTCGATAAAATATTCTTTAATTATTCATTACTTAAGTGAATGACAACAAAAACAGAAGTTGTATTGCAAAGTTTCAACTACCCGCCACTGTCTTAATTGTCTACTGACATTACAGTTCAATGACCTTAAAAACTATTCGTGTTACGGTTTACGCTTTTTAAATTTTCGTCAAAACTATGCTGCTGCGTCGTTGTAACTAATTTTAGAGTAGTTGTGCCGACGGCTTCGTTCGCGTAGAATTAATTTAGTCACCAAAATTTATGATTGCAAACTTCCTCCTCATCTTTAAAAAATATAGTGTTGCGACGACGTGTCCCGTCATTCTTGCAAGTTAATCCTAAAAGCACTGTTATGGACTTTTTTAGATAATTTAAATAGGAATCATTCTTTAATAATAAATTTTCCAATTCGAACTTCTAGTTTAGTAGAACCAACTCTTCAGTTTTATAATTATTGTGATTCTTGATTAAGTTTGGGATATATGAAATATCATAAAATTTTTGTATCTAACATATTTCAATTCTGTAATCTGAAGTATTTTGACCGACCTGGATTCGAATCTTATACTTCGTGATCTGCAGTCTGGGGTAAGGTTTCTAATAGGGTCCCAAAGTATGACTAACGAAATCGATAAATTACGTATTTCTAAATCGTCACGTTTCGATCAACTTGACCAGGTTGAAAAGTGGACCTAACTGTACGTACACCATTTCCTTTGTTCGTGTTTACATTCCTCAGTAAACACAGTAACCTTAATGTCTTATAGCTATGAATATGTAAGCTAAACATAATATAAAGTCCCATAGACTCAATATAAAAGTGCGTAAAATTATAACGACATGTAGTACGCCAGGAAGGTGAATGTTTCCCAGATAACTCTATCTGGGAATCATTCACCTTCCTGGCGTATTTTTGATTTTTAATCTATACAGTGCTGTCATGTAGATGTTATTGTACAAATTGTTGTATTAAAGTTTACAAACTGTATAATCCAAACTACCTTACATTTAAGCCCTTCAAAACTATTACGTATAATTACTTAAAGCTTTAGTTTAAAACCATAAATCCGAGATTTAACTTGTAAGTATTACTTTTAGTTTTCAAAAATTTTTGGCCATCGAAAAGAATATGGTATTGAGTATACAATTGTAGAATATTTTTACGTCGACCACAATGCCTGTTCGAGGTGGTTCCCTACTTCCGTTGAATGACGTCATATCCAAATCTAGCGTAGATCTAGTGGCCTTTAAAGATTTGCAACAACTTGGCACAGTATTCAATTTTCGGGTCACAACGTAATGTCACGCCTTTCAAAAACCGGAGTTCGGCATTCCAGTTCGTAAGTACGTCCACCAATGATTAATTTGATTGATTATCTTTTGAAATTATGACATCGATTATGATAGCAACTCTTACTTAATTGAATGGTTCCGGATATAAATAGTCTTTGTCACCGTAGAATTGTAAATGTCGTTAGATTGTACAGAATCTCGTGAGTTTTTTAAATGTTAATATTTTGATTCGATTGACATATTGACAAACAAAATGGCGAATTTATTTACTTCCATTAACTACCTAACAGTTAAAATTGTAGTACACGTGTACAATATTTCGATAGTTTAAAAACTGGATAATTTGAAATAAAACAAACCTTATAGAGAGATCTATAAGTGAATTAATTCACATGTTCCACTGTTAGTTATCGACACATCCACAGGACGACCCACTAGTTCCAGTTCCAGTGTGGGTTTGTGGGCTTTAAACGATTACCGCTACTAAAAAACAAAAATGACATTTGATTAAAGTAAATATATATATTTTTTTACAATCTATTAAAAATAACGGCTTTATCTTGCGTAATACTAAACGAAAGGTACAACTTATAACATTATCTGTAAATATTACGGTGGGTGTTACTCAATCTAAGTGGATCCGGATCTAAATAGTCTGCTATAGAGCGAAGGCCGGTGATTATAGCCACATTGACGTTATAGTAGCCTTATAAAGGTGCATACCTAAATAATGTTTATAAATGTCACATGTCTTTGTCTGTGACATTTAAGAATTGTTTGTTGTCCGCAGGTTCGCGGTTAAATAACCTGTGTTTAGAAAGACTAATTAGTAACTAGCTCTTTGACGGGCTGGTTAGTGTAATTGTAGCAACGTAAGGCCAATAATCACCGGAACGGTTCGATCCCCACCAGATCCAACATATAATTTTTCTGAAACATGTTGGACTTCGTCTGGAAATCTGGATATTTAATCGGTGGTAGGAATATCGATCCTGCGTCACGGACCACCGTCCACAGATAAAAAGCTGTGAAGTTTAATCGCGTTTCGGTATTAGTCTGTGGGGTTTCCTAATATCTAAAGGCAAATAGATCAGCAGCATGCTATTTGTTAGGGTCATTTCTCCTCTATCATAAAGAAAAATAAAACGAAACTTACTTTGGATACTGTCTATAGTTTACGCGAGTAGTACACATTTAAATAAAACACTCCCCGTGACCACGGCTGCTGCAAAGCATCCGAAACGTCGGGCCGAAGTTAAAAATCATTTTCAAATAAGTTTAACTAATATATCGCGTTTTAAACCGTTAAAGTGTTTTATTTAAATGCTTTGAATAGATCAACACCCGTAAGATTCATTCTAAGTACCTTGTTTGAAATAGTTAGTTTTTAATACTCCATAAACTAAGTTCTTGCACATCTGAGAAGAAAGTGTTTTGTAATTATTAGTACTTAAAAGCAAATTAAAAATTCAAACAATGGCCGAAAACATTAAAAGTGGTGTGAAAGTATAATTAAATGTCACATAATTCGCATTTCTCACGCGACTGTACAACTTAAGTCATTGTTGACTAGAGTACTAGCTTTTTGCAATCAATTGTACTGCCATATCTCGATCGATATTGATGTTATTAAAAGCTTTCTACATTTTACACATAAATACAACGTTAATATATTAAAAAGGAATATTAAATATTAATCATTAATCATTTGATACTTTTTACGCAGCCATGTGTCATCTGTCAAACATATATTGACAGATGACACATCATGTTTAAGAACACTGGCGAAATCGTACCACATGACCAAATATATGTTATATATAACAAAAACGATATTTTATTTCTATTCTATATATTAATAATATTTCATTATAAAGCTAGGAAAAAAAGATAGCTTTTTTTTCTACAAATATGATATTTTTTAATTTGTTTCTTCAGAACGTAATGTTAGAGTTCGCATATAGAATTTGTCTTTAGTTTACATTAGAACGTCTAATATACAAAGATTTTTTTTTTGCAAGTAATGGGTGGATGTTAGTCGACGCGCTATCAATTAACATTTAGAATCACTAAAACTTTGCCTTTAAAATTAAATTTTATTAACTATCCTATAAACTCATTCTGTTTTTACGAAACGAAAAAGCTAATTAAGATTTTTAGTCAAACTTATTCATTTATTCTGACCTCAAAAGTATTTTTTGACGATATTAAATGTCTTGGCTTTCTAGATAATGTTTTTGTACATGGTGTTATTTAATACATTAAAGTAAATTAAACCCTTTATGATTTGCTGCTGGTCGCAAAAAATTTTAGTCCAGCCCAGTACCTATACAAATTCGGCCATTGATCTTTATGGTTCAAAGTAATTTCGGTTTCCTAACAATATTTCCTTTTCTTTCGAAGTTTGAAACCAGAACAACCTAGCTCACTGCGCATGCGCATACTACGATGGAGCAATGGAATATCTTAACGCGATCCAAGCACGTAATTGTACATGCCGTAACAAATATTATGAGTGTCAATATTCGATCAAGTTATCGAAGCCTGCCACGGTTCTTGCGAAATTCTTGAAATGTCAACGGTTCACAATTCATTGGAGCGTAGAAGTTATTTAGGTTCAATGAGTTTTACCAAGTAAAACCAAGGATTATCTTGAGATTTGAGAGGTTTTATAAAGACATATTGTTGTATATGTATTGTAATATATGAATCATTTTTAAATTAAAAACCAAGTTTACATTAAAGAAAAAATCACGTCACTTGCACGTTTTGAACCGGCATCCACAACTGCTTGAGTTACCTACACGTCATCGTATTTTCAACGTATTGATGCACGCACCTATCGCGCAATGTAATTTCAACGTTAACACTTGCGTGTTAAGGTTCGATGTCCAATGCTTAGCTTATTAAAATCATTAAAGATGAAGTTACATTTAAATAAAACACTCTCCCCATGACCACGGCTGCTGCAAAGCATCCGAAACGTCGGACCGAAGTTAAAAATCATTTTT